GTGCCCCTCTTCCTCCTCCGACCTTACCGGTGCACGGCAGAGAGAAGAGGGTATATTGTAGGAGAGGATCGAGGAGTACAGCAACAACAAGATCTCGATGTTCTACGTTTTTGGGTGTCTGGGGATTAGTACAACCTTGGACAACTAGAGAGATTGAGGAATAGAGAGAGCGCAGGAACATCGACAAGGACCAGAACGATACGATCAGAGGAAGTCCGGAAGACTGCAGATGAGGAAAAACGATAGGAACCGCCATGGCAACCGGCTGAGAAGGCGAGGCACAAACACACACACTCACACACACACGCACACAGAGAGAGAGAGAGAGAGAGAGAGAGAGNGAGAGAGAGAGAGAGAGAGAGAGAGAGAGAGAGAGAGAGAGAGAGAGAGAGAGAGAGAGAGAGAGAGAGAGAGGAGCAGCAGCAAACACCCTGACCAGTCGGCGGCCACGTCGCACCGGACACATGTCCACTCGCATCAGACACAATGTCGGCCACGCCAGGAGAGAGAAGGTTGGAAAGTAGCCTAAGTAGGTAGGGAGGAAGGAAGGAAGGTAGGTGGATAGGTGATCAGACTCATGAGAGTAGAAACGTAGATAGGTAGGTGATGAATGTGGGAACGCAGATAGGTAGGTGATGAATCGTGAATGTGAGAACGTAGATAGGTAGGTGGGTAGGTGACTCAGAGTGGAAACGTGTCGGATGTGTCGATCCAAGACTGGAATAGCTTGAGCGCTGCTTCGGGCTTGTCTGTAGGGACAGCATGTCCCGACCCGAGCACCGTAGCGTAGGTTAGTTTCTTCTCATAGATTTGTCTAAACCCCGTGGTCTGGTCGCCTACCGTCCATCCCATCCACCGCGTGGATCCGGGGAAGGCCTCCCCGTATCCAAGGGATTTTATCCACGATTCCGTACCCGCCGAGGGAACGACGAGGTCGTGGTCTCCGCTATATATGAGCACTCGTAGTCCGTACTGAGACGTCAGTGTCTTGTGCAATGCCACCATATCTCCTCCGTTCTGATCGTACTCCAACTGCGTCGCGCAACTTAGCCATTCCCCGATCTCGGAAACGGGCGGCACGTTGAGAGCCAGCCTCACTGCGTCATTGTTGAACCAATTGCCCAACCAATCGGTATCTAGACAGGGTGTGCTGCCAAAGGGGAACTTTTTTGGCAGCTGACTTACGAGCGCGGCCATCTGGCTGCTGGTGGCCTGCGATTTGGAGGCCGTCAGGTTCAAGCCGTCGTAGATATCGGGAAGAGGACCGACGCACTCACCTCCCACGTTATACACGTTGATCCTCCTCACCGTAGCGAAGATGAGGAAGTAGAAAGCGTAGTCTCTAACAGCCGATTGACAGGCATCTGGAGCCGTCCAGATCTCATTCATCGTGGCAAGGGAGCCGCACTCGCTGGTCACCCACTCGTACATCTCCGCGTTGATGATGGAAAGCCCGCGGGACTTGCTCACAATCCCATAACTGTTGAACACTGAATTCCAGGCCGGCGTCTCCACTACCCCGTTGCCGATAAGGTACCCCTTTAAGTTGAGTAGGGGTTGGAGCTTGGTGTCCAACCCCTTGACGATTTTCTGGGCCAGCATGGGGATATATACCCCTGCATACGACTCCCCGGCGAGGTAGAGGGGGTTCTTGGTGAAGGTGGGGTGAGCTTTCATCCATTCCAGCAGGAAGCGGTGGAGGTCGGCTGACGTGGCAAGGTCGTCCGTCCGGACGGGGCTGGGCGTCTGCTGGGATCGGGACAGCCCGACCCCGAAGGGTGAGTCCAGGAAGATCATGTTTGCCACCTTGCTCCAGGCGTCGGGGTTGACGGACAGCTCAGGAAGGGATCCCGTGCTGTCGCCACGTGTGAAGCGGAAAGGGCCGTTGCCCAAGGCAAAGCCGAACATCGAAGAGCATCCCGGCCCTCCATTCAGCCACAGAACGACGGGATCGGATGCCAGGTCCCTTTCAGACCTGACGAAGTAGTAGTACAGCCGCCGCGTGCTGTTGGTAATCGTGGAAGTGTCGTTGAGATAGACATAGCCGGAGTAGTGAGGAGAGGGAAACCTGTCGTAGAGTCCAGGTAGGCGACAGATGCGCTTCTCAACCACGCTGCCAATACGGACGACGAGGGAGGAGATGGAGGAGGAGGACAGACTATCACTGGTGGTCGCGTTGAGTGGGAGGGATGCCGAATCTACTACCGCTACCGTTTCTGTCATCCCCCTCCCATGGGCACAAGGATGACCTCGACACCCCGGCGGCAGGTTGGCATGGTTGCCGTCACTGCCGTGTTCTCCATGACGCCCGTGCTTGCCATGCCCAGGGCGTCCTGGAAAGGGCCTACCGCTCGCAAAATCAGAGAGCAAAGTTAGGCCCAGCAAAATGTCCGTCATCACGACAATCGCACAAAACCACTGCGCGCCAGATCGCCACCTGCCCGCCATCGCTTCCTGCGTTCCGTCTCCTGAGCGAGCACCTTTTCTCTCAACCCCCCCC